CGTCCTCAGCCTGGACACCAATTGCTTCTTCAACCTCCCTTTCTTCTTCACGAGGTACCACCCCTGGGAAATGATCAAGAACTCCTTCTGCTTCACTTTCGGCATCCTCCACAACTTCTTTCTGCACCCTTTCTTGCTCTTCTTCTTCTAGCACGGATTGGAGAGCAAGCTGCCAAGCAATTTCTTTCATGAGATCTTCTTGCATCTCCTCACTCATGCCCGCCTCTTCAAAGCTCAGTTTGGGATGTGGGAAGGTGTGGTCGGCTATGACAGGACATTCCTGATCATGATCATCACGGGAGCTCTCCATGACATCTTTGGTGTGCTCCACAATGTCCTTGTAGCCTTCTTCTTCCTCCTCCTCTTCTAGTATGGTAGCAGAAGGGTGATCTGGAGCAGTTTGTGCCCAAGATCGCTCAAGATCATCGACGCTCTTCTTAAGGCTTAGGAGGATCTCCTCTGTTTCACGATAGGCCTGGATACAATGATCCATCATGGAGCATGTTCTCTCACAGTCTCGAGCAAACTACTCCATGAGAAGCCTCAATTCATAGTTTGGATCTGGATGTGGAGTGTAGCATGGCTCTGCAGAATGGCCCGTGAAGGCCGCCATGGGTAACTCTAGCGCCGATGGCCCTTCTGGTTGTGGGAGAAATTCTTCTTGGTAATGAGGTTGTTCTTGATATGCCCAGGGGTCCGGTGGTTCTCCGTAGTAAGGGGGTTGGTACTGGAACCCGAATCCATAGTCTTCTCCTCCTTGATTGCTCCAAGGAGTCTCGGGGTAATACCACTCGGGTGGTGGTGGATACCCACAATTGTTGGAGAAGCCATGAGGATCCATGATTCAGATCTGCACCAACAAGCACAAAAACACCTAAGTGAAAAGCAAGGGTGGAAAAGAAAAGAAAAGAAAAACGCTAAAGTAACAAACTTCTGCTTTTCCTAATACTCTAGAAAGTCCCCGGCAACGGCGCCAAACACTTGACTCGCTATGACACAACTCCTAACAAAGGCCAAGTGTAACCAATGAAAGGGACTGCAGTATAGTGGCTCAAGTGATAAATATCGAATCCACGGGTCTCTAGAGTTACTATTACTCAACTTCAGTTTATTATTTAGCAAACCAAATTAAGATGAAAGAACTAAAACTACTCTAGCAAACTACAGTTAAAGTTAATCTAATTACAGGTTGGGAACTCACTTAGGTATGATTCCCCCTAGCCACTAGCCAGACTAACGATTGATGATTTCTAACTTGTTTCACTTTCATTCACAATGCGGAGAATCCTTGACTAGACCTTGAGTCTCGAATAAAGGAACAAGGCCCTCTTGAGTCAATTGCCTAGAGGGACGTATCCTTCTCTAGAACAACTGATCAAGGCGTTCTGAACTAGACTCCCTCTATTGAAAGAGGTTCTCAATCGATACAAAGCAGTGAATCAACCCTCGACTAAAGCAATCGATCTACTACTATCAATCTATGGTGCTCTATTGACCTAATCAGGTATTCCCTCTCATAGGATCAAAGCAGAATCAACAATCTCGACTAAAGCAGAATTGAATCATGAAAACATGCATAGATTGAATATGAACTCAAGATTATCAAGTCAGAGTACTCATACAATCATCCAATCAAACAAACATAGCTAGGGTTCCTCAAAACCTAAGTGAAGGGAAGTTACTCCATAGAGAAGAGAGAGACTGCAGTAAGAATCTTCAGATGATCAGTCTTCAAGTCCGGGCTTGTTCCTCGAGTTTCCAAGGCAAAGAAATCCTCCAATTCCACTCCAACAATGCTCTCAAATCTTCCTCTCTCTCTTTGGTTCGTCCCTTGGGTGTTTGGGATCCAAAACCCAGCTCTCCCTCTCCTTTGGCTCGAATTTGGGTTAAAAAACCCGATTATGGTCAAAACACGGTCGAGGGCACGGCCGTGCTTTGGTTTTGCCCGCTCGTGCTTTGCCCCGTGTTAAAAACACACCCGCGCGCGTCGGCCAAAATACGGTCGTGCCTAAATATGGGCATGGCCGTGTTTTAATTTAGGCGCGCCAGTGTTTTTACTGCCGAACCTGTTCCCCTATATTCAATGCTTCGTTTCTCCCTCGTCCGGACTCCGAATCAGTCGCCGTTTGATCCCAGACGCTTGTAGTCTCGTCCTCTTTCTTTTAAAGACAAGCTTGCATGATTATTTGTCCATAAATTGAGTTAGAAATCCATTCTTCTTCAGGTCATGCCCGAGTTTCTTGTCCCTAATCGTCAATTGATCTCTGATTGACTTGAAACTTGCGCCTATGCTTCACTTTATGTGCTAGGACCTGAAATGTGACAAAGGAACACAACCTAGCATAAAATAGGCCAAATACGCGATAATTAAAGCTCAAACGATCAAGAAACAAAGGGGAAAACATGTGCAAATATCGAGTCATCACCATCAATTCTAGAAATAGCTACATCCTATGATGTTTGCCCCAAAAATTGGGATTTAGTTCATGACGAAAATAAAACAAATAATAATGTTCATAATCTTAATGTTACGAAGCAAAGCAAAAGAAAACAAATATTGATAATCGCTTCCCGCTGCTCGGCTCGTTCCGCGCTCTCATCGCGATTGCTACCAAAGAATTTCGTCCCAGCTCGGCAGCTCCTCTCCTCTCGATTCTGCTCCAAGTCGCCGCCTGCTGCTTCAATTCCCTCAATAATCACGTACTCAATTCCATGCCCCCAAAAATTCCCCACCTTCCAAATCTCCCCTCCCATTAATTCCCCTGTCTCTCAATATATATATATATATATATATATATATATATATATATATATATGCTCCCCCAGAAGAAGTCCCTGCTCGCCAAACAAAACCAAGTTTTGTGGGCTTTAAGCCACCTTCTGCATGCCACCTCCAATTAAACTTCCAAGTCCCATTAATTTCGTCCCTGTCCATAAGTTTCCACGCACTAAGCTCCTCCTAGGCCCAATTGTTATACAACCAGTGATTTGAGCCTAATTGTTTTCCTGTACAATTTCTCCTTTTTTCGTGCTTTCTTCACCTGTAATACATCAAACTCATGGCACTAGGCAGTAATGGTTTTTCAACCATTCTAGGATTAGTTCACACTAAAATAAAACCAATCGACTCAAACATATCATGGAGTAGTCACATAAAGCTCAAGAATTCCATATGTTACAGTCGATTATCAGCTCCCCGGGAGGCTGATATCCAATCTCCCATCCTACATCCACCCGTGGCCGCCAAATTTTTTGAAATTATGCCCGCTCTCGTCACCATGATCCAGAACAACGCCTTGTTTCATGGGCTTTCCAATGAATCACCACGAGAGCATGTTTAAAGGTTCCTTGAGCTTGCGGGAAGCTTGAAGATAAATGGCGTCCCCAAGAAGGCATTGCAACTAGGGGTGGGCATACGGTTCGGTTTTACCGTACCGAACCGAACCGAACCAAGGTCAAACCGACCGAAACTGAAATAATTGTATTTAGGTTTGGAATTCGGACGCCAATAAGCTGAATTTCGGGAGACATGTGTTCTTTGACCGAACCGATAAACCGAATTGCCGACCGAATTGCCGAATTAAGAATGGCCCAATTTTTTTTCAAACCTCAGTTGTTGCCACTAGCCCACTCCCTATTTCATTTGACCCAACTAAAGCCCACTCACACCCAGCCCACTATCCTTCTCCTCCTAATGTGAATGGCCCAATTCTCCTTCAAACCCTACGCAGCCGCCACTCTCCCGCCAGCCAACAGAGTACAGACCAGAGAGACAGAGAGAAACACGAAATCGGCCGCTGCGTCTACTCTGCTGACTGCTGCCGCTGCCGCTGCGTCCTCGTCGGCCGTCGACGTCGTCCGTCCTCGTCATCCCCTGAGGCTCGAGCCCGAGTCCGACCCCAAGTCCCGACGGCCTCTCTCTCGACGACTCAACCTCCCTCCCAGTCTCCTACTCCCACCCGGCACCGCCAGTCGGCACCGGCAGCTCAACCGATCGCACGACCTCCCTTCCTGTCTCCCACTCCCGCCGACAGCCCGACAGCACCACTCACTCGACAGGTCATGGTGGAAATTTCGGTTCTGGGGATGGAAACCGAACCGACCTATAATTCGGTTCGGCCGAACCGAACCAAATTATAGTTCGGTTCGAATTCGGTCGGGGCATGAGAGACTTCAGAAAATCGGCATATCCATGTTCGGTTCGGTTCAAACCGAACCGACCGAACGCCCACCCCTAATTGCAACTGAGGCTATTCCCCTACTCTCTTGCGGGGAAAGCGCTCTGATGGCTCAACAACCGACCGACTTGCTCGATCACCTTGTGGGATGATTTTCTCAACAAATTTATGATCCGATATTGTCCTCCTTCTAAGACGGCCGAGTGGAGAAAGAAGATTACCCACTCCGAGAAAGAGGAAAATGAGACGTTGAGGGATGCATGGGAAAGATTCTCGGATTACTTCCTCCAATGCCCTGACCATGGATTCGAGGAGCATTTTCAGATAGAGACCTTCTATGACGATCTCATTCAAGATGACAAGATTCTCATCGACTCTCTTTGCCAAGGGAAGTTGATGAACATGACTCCACCTCAGGTGACCGAGTTGCTCGAAGACATGGCTCTTAAGGGTTACGATTGGGTTTGACAAGAAGTGGTAAGAGGAGCACCGAAAAAGGAGTGCGAAGTGTGGGATCAAGTGCTCCACTTGAAACTAAGCTTGACAAGTTGATTGAGGTAATCCTTGAGGACAAGAAACAAGGGGCGAACGCGTCAATGTCTTGCGATTGGTGTTCTAGCACTAATCATGAAATTGCTGATTGCCAAGCGACGAAGGAAGCAAGTACCCCCGAGAAGCAAGTGAGTTTCATTGCCAATGCTAGAGCGAACAACCCTTATAGCAATACCTACAACCCCGGGTGTGCCAATCATCCAAACTTCGCTTGGTCTTCTTCTACCAATACGAGACCCCCTGGTCCAAGGTCCAACGGGCAACTATAAACCACAGCCAACTTTCATCCAACAAAGGCCTATGTTCCAAAACTCAAATTTCCAACAACCATACCAAGCACAAGGTGGTCAAGGGTTCCAACAACAACAACAACCCGACAAGTTTGCTAAGCTTGAAGATCTAGTGACCACCTTTGTGAGCACCAGCTCTCACAAGATCGAGAAGATCGAGCAATTCATGGATGTGGCGACCTCAAAATTTACCCCGGTCGAGGTGGGACTCCAAAGTCATCAAGCAAGTCTTCAAAACTTGGAGGTGCAAATTAGCAATCTTACCAGGATCCTCACCGAGAGACCAAGGGGAGTTCAACCTTCCCAAACCATTCCAAACCCAAAAGACCAAAATAATGGGGTGAATGTGATTCAATTGAGAAGCTGGAAGGTGACTCCGGAGGTTGTTGCCAAAGAAGTGATCATAAAGGAAGACTCTCTACCAGAGGATGGAGATGAAGAAATCTCAGGAGAAAAGAAAGGAGTGGTGAGGAAGCCATCTCTAACGCCACCTCCAGTGTCTTAATACACGCCACCCCTTCATTTCCCCACGAGGGTGCACAAAGAAAGATTGGAGGCAGAATGTGGCGGTTACATGGAGATGCTCAGAAAACTCCACCTCAACAGTCCCTTCATTGAAGCAATGGCCCACATGCCACGGTATTCAAAATACCTCAAGGGGATCTCTCTAAGAAGCCAAAGTTCCAAGACCTCGCCAATGTCATCTTAGGTGAGGAGTGCTCTGCTATCATCCTCAACAAGTTTCCCAATAAGCAACCCGATCCAGGTACTTTCACCATACCTCTTTGCATTGTCCCTCATCACATAGAAAATTCCTTGGCGGACTTAGGAGCAAGCATTAATGTGATGCCCTTTAAAATTTTTAAGAGGGTATACATAGGTTAACTAAAGACTACTAGGCTTAGTGTCACATTGGCCGATCGTTCTGTCATTAGTACTAGGGGCATTGTGGAGGACGTGCTAGTACGAGTAGGAAAATTCTGTTATCTGATGGATTTGTGATCCTTGATATAAGTGAAGATTCGGAAATGCCACTCATACTAGGACGCCCCTTCCTTGTCACCACCAAGGCTTTAATCGATGTTAATGAGGGAATTTTGATTCTGAGAGATTGTGAGGAGAGAATTACTCTTAGAATTGAACCTAAGCCTAGGAGTGAAGATGTAAAAGAAGTGGAATTGAATGATATGAATGAAAGTGGAGGAGAGCCTCTCAAGGTGAACCCCACTATTAATCTTGTTACTTGTGGTGATGTGAAGCAGGAAATTAAGGAGGGTATCACACCCAAAGAAAGGAGAAACAAAGCTTGGAGGAAAAGGATGAATCGCTCTATTGCCCGAAACAAGGACTAGGGCAGAGCAAAGATCAACGTCCAAGAAGGACACCCCATGGAGTTTAATTTGGGAGGTGACAAGCATCGCCCCGAGATCGTGGCGTATCCACTCTCGGTGGCTTCATGTTCTCAAGCATGATAGATCCGCAACGTCAGGCTAGTGACGTTAACTTATCGCATGTTGGGAGGCAACCCAACGTAGGTTTGTTTTTCTTTTCCTTGTTTTCTCTTTTTGTGATTGAGTGAAGAGTTCAAGTGGTCGAAATGGTATCCCCGCGCCAGGTCTGTGTGATAGTGTGTTTTGAGATTTGTTGTGATCGATAGTAGGGCACGACGGAGTAGGTTGAGTCAAAGATTTTTGGAAATGCTCTGTTTTCACTTCAGTTCACGGTTTGTGCATGATATTAGTTGACCGTGAACTGATCAACGCGTTCGTGAACCAAGGTGCTTCCGCGTTTTAACAAAACTCGTGGTTTTACCCCACTTCACAGGTTGCGAGTTAATTCACGGTCTTAGAGCCCGTGAACAAACCCACGCGTCCGTGAACTGAGGATTCTGCCTATAAAAGGGGAGTGAACCCCTCATCTTCACTTCACGGCCACTTTTCGCCGGACTCCTTTCAAAATTGCCAGAAACCCTTGATTTTCCGTTGATTTTTGTCAATTTCATCGACCTCGGCTACCCAAATCTAAAACCAGCCACAGACCCTGTCTTCCCACGTCAAGGGCTACCTTCGCCGAAGTTTTGGGGAGATTTGGCTCATATTTTTTTTGGAGAGGCGATTTCCGGCGAGCTTTCGACGAAGCTCCGGCGACACCTCTCCGACCTGTTTTTGTGCAATTTTTCAATTCCCTGACCTCTCCTCACTTCCCCTTCGATCCTACTTAAGTTTCCAGGTTTTTTTTCGACCTTTGCTTGGTTAATTGTTGGAGAATAGGATTAGGGTGTGAAGTGAGGTGATTTTGTGAATTGATTATTGAATGTAGAAATTGGTCGAGGGATTAGTTGATTTTTGGTGAATGAATGTTGCATGAGCTTAATTGAGCCTTGGTTGCCATGATTTAGGTACAAATTGCGTTTAAATGTGAAATTTTCCCACCAAATGGAAAAATGTGAATGAATGTGGATACTTGGTGTTTGTGTGGTGGATGGTAGTCGTCGAGGCATGGTTTAGGTTTGATATTGTGTTGATAATTCGTGAAACACCTATAACCATGCCTCAATGTGTTGGAGCTTAATTGTTTGAATCCATTCTTGAGGAAAATTTTCAATGGCATGGAATAGTAGTGGAAACATAAGTGTGGGGGGGAATTCCTTTTCCTCCCGATGAGTTGAGATTGACAGTTATTTTCCACGTATGGTGCATGTTTGAATGCTTTGCAGGATGGTTGATACGGATCACGAGTACATCCAATAATTGATGAACCACAAGTGGTTCAGAGCCAAGTTTGCACAACGGAGGTATAGTGAGGTTGGGCGTCATTGGATGTTTGACCTGGACATGTTCAACATGTTCAGGTGTCGGGCGGCGATGTCAGGGGTCGTTTGTCACCCCCAGTGGTTCCAGTTGCTGATAGTGGAAGAGCTCTACAAGGAGTTCTACTCCACTTTCTCCCACATCATCCTGACGAGGAAGCAAAGTTGACCCAACGTGGAGTTCATGCTGGGAGGTCAGCGCGGGTGCTGACTTACGACGGGTTTACTCAAGCCATGGGGCTCAACCACACTCATATGTAAATGACGGAGAGGTAGTACACCGCCAATTTCCATTACCATGCTGCATTCGGGGCCATCTGCCGTCTCGAGCACCAGGACGACGAGTTTGAGGGTGGCCACACCAATGCGGTGAAGTTTCAGACTCCGTGGAGGATTTTGCACACCTTGATCACCAGGTCCATCATTCCTAGTCCGAGAGCGGACCACTTGATCACCAACAGAGGGTTGGTTGCCCTCCACTCCATGAAACACCCTACCGAGCCACTCCATCTGGGAGCTGTGGTTGCTACCACCTTCGCCAGGTGTTTGGGGCGGGACCGAGTGAACACGATGCACTTGGGGAGCATCATCACCAGGTTGGCCTGGCACTTTAAGGTGGACATGATGGGTGATCCATCATTGGCCGGACCAAGCCATTTCCAGTGGAGACACTCTGCAACATGAAGTCGGTGCTTCAAGGTAAGCGAGTGATTGAGTACCTAGACAGACTGCGACCTTCGGCGACTCTAAGGCCGATGGTCGACCCTGCTCCGATGGAGCCTGATCCAGCGGTCCCTCTCCTGAGCAGCCACCTGCAGGGATCATCTAGTCCAGCGGATGGATCACCTCGACACTCACGTTGTGGGAGTCATCACTCGGCTCGACCTCACCACAGATTTGCTAGAGAGGATAGCTCGATGCTAGGGTGTCCTTTAGGACGATGAGCAGGGGCCTTTGACCCGCTAGAGGTAGCCGACGAGTGAGACATGTGGCAGAGCCGATTTCTTTCACCCCACTTCTCCACTTGGAACTTTGAACTCTTTGATCTTTCATTTTATTTTTCTTTCCTTTTATTCAGTGTGTGTGTGTGTGTGTGTGTGTGTGTGTGTGTGTGTGTGTGTGTGTGTGAACAATTAGTACTGCTACTATCGTATTGTTATGTGTAATAACCTCACCTCACCTCAGCAAGAATGTGTGTTTTTATTTGCTTTTGTCTTCTCCTTGAAGCTCCAATATCCTACCCCGGAAAAAAATTCCAACTTTCACTCACCAAGCCATGCGGTAACATCGTTCTACCCCTATCTTACGCCATTGAGGGCAATGTCGAGCTTAAGTTTTGGGGGGGGGGTAGTTTATTAATATGCTTGTGTGAGTGAGATTGAATTCTTGGATCCTTGATGTATGCCCCAATTTGAAAATTTTGAGGACTTCAAACAATGCATGCATGATCAAAGTGGCCAGTTTCTGGGAGAATCTCGTGTTTATTGGCATTGCCCTTGAATTGTTGCATGTGATCGAGTGTGTCCTATGATGATGACTAAGAAGTGCATTAGGATAGTGTAAGGGTTTAGTTCTCATGAGTGCAAAATGAATGGATGTCTTGACTCGATTGCTTGTTGATTACAATTTTAATGCATTGTGTTTTGTGAATTGGAATATATGGTTGGGTGACTAGGTTGCCATGTGAGTTTTGAGCAGATCGTATTCTTCTTGTGTGCTTAGATCCCTCTTACCATGGCGAGTAACATCACAGTTGTCATTAGTGAGTATGATGGAGGCATAGGATTAGTCCACGCCTAAAAGTTGATTGTCCCAAAATATCTTATCCCCTAGTCAACCCTTTTGAGCCTTGTGACTATGGGGGTCGTTCTCTTGTAGGAGCTTTTCGCTTGTAAGCATATGGTGTTTGATAGAATGACACCCATCCTTTCTTCGTGTCTATACGTGAGTCGTCCTTGTGTCCCGGAATTCATGCTTTGGAGCTCCATTGAGGTTCTACATAGGAGGATTTTGCGCAGTTCTTGATAGAAAAGAAGAGGTATTGTTGGAGTAAGTTCTTAATCTTGAGAATTGTTCATTAAATGGTATGTGTTTCACTCTCTAGTACCCCCCCCCTCCCCTCTCAAAACGAAAAGAAAAGAGAAAAAGAAAGAAAAGGAAAGTAGAAAGAAAAAGAATCGAAAAAGAGGCAATAAAATGGGGTAAATAAAGTAGAGAGTTGCCATAAAATCAAAGTTTATGCTCTAGTAAGAGTTTCTTGGCACTCAAGCCATTGAAATACCCAAATTGGTGTTGAACTCCTTCACTACTATGTTTGAAATATGTTAGCAAGAATAGGCAGAGGAAGTGTGCTTGAATGTAGTTCGTGATGGGTGATAGTTTGGTTGGAAGGAAGTAAGGTTTTTGGCAGATGCTAGTGGCCGTTGTGTGTAGGGAAGGTTCTTAATCGAAGCCATAAAACCTTCGGTTTTAAGGTGAAGATGTAGGACCTCATGTTTTGTTTGCCGCCACCCAAAAGGCTTTTTCCCCATGTCCAAGATAATTGCCAGTCATTTGAACCCGTATCTAAGCCTCCGGACAAGCTAGTTATGACAACCGTCCCGTGAACTCTAGCATTTAGAGGTTGTCGCCGTGGTGAAGAGACGATAGGACCGAGTGTTGATAATTTTGCACATTTTTTGCACCAAATGGTCCCGACCCCACTGGTCAAGAGTGTGAGTGATTCATTCTTGTTTTGCATGTGAGATCATACCCCGTTGAGGACCTTTGTTGCCCATTTGTTTATTCCTTGGAATTGAATGTTATGCATGGTTAGTTGTTGTTGATGAGTGAACTTGTTAAAACTTGCATTGATTCATGAACAGGGTGAGAACTTTTCGTTTTCCCATTTTTCGTGGCCTCGAATGTCGTTTGTGGTGGATCCTGGTATCGCTTGCAATGGTCCATGTGTTAATTGCC